TTGCCAGGGGAATGAACTCTCAACAGATTTCAATAAGGATCTGAAATAAGTATGACCAGAGAACAAATCATTCCGTGCCACCCTCCACCTGCTATAGTCGTCGTTTCCTACCTGAATGTGCACCTCATACAGAGAAGCCAAAGACAATGCGTAATCATCCAACTCCCAATCATGCAAGCCCCTCACAAATTCATATTTATAGACTAAGTATTTTCAAAAGCGTGCCCAACTTAGATCATGAGGCATGCCCCGTGCAACACATTCGTCAGAAGTTTCTCAAGGCTCACAACTTCACTTATTGTGACCACCCCTTAGGGCATAAGCCTCAAGGCCATTGATGCTTTTGCCCGTAGTGTTGCCATTTCTATGCTGTTTGTTTCACCAAGCTCAGCTTTTTCCCTGGTTATTCACAGGCCAAAGCGTTTTAGGGATTTTGAGCTTTTCTAATTACGATTCAACCTAAAAACTAAAAATAAAGGAATTGAAAATAGAAGTGCAAGTAGTCATCCATGTGTGCCCTGGTCCTCTACTCATAGAACTGAAGTTCAAACTCCCCAAGTGAAGTTGGAATCTTTTGGCGCCAAATGACTAGTGACAAGAGACCTGCAACATTTAACTTCACCTTTTCTTTTGTTTGTCTTCACCCCCACCCACCCAACCCTCTTTTAATGACAAAGCAGGCAAAATTCTTCAATAGTTTTGTAAGTTGTTTATTTTGTTGACCTTTAGTTCTTCTCATGAAATACTGATCTTTTACGTAAGTCACGTGACTACTACGTTGCTAATTTTAGCTTGCCACTTTGACGATCTACTTCATGTTTTAGTTGCAAATTAGACTTCTAATTTTGCTGAGATGTTTTGTTATAAATTTGTTAGATGGGTCATGGTTTATTATGTGTATAATTTTGTTTTTTACAATTTTTAAATTTTTTATTGGTTTATTTTTAGGCTTATGTGTCACCCACCAAAGACCCTATATCTCAATATTCAATTTAGTCTTTTTAAAAGCTGTACAGTTTACAAATTCAAGCTGAGAACTAAATATACATAATTCCTTACCAGAACCAAACACGAAGTCTCTTCAACAACGAAAATGTGAGGTAAAAGAGATAATTATGAGACTGAAGTGGTATTTTAAGATTTGGTGGATATCGAAGGAATCACCATAATATTTCAAATTTCACAACACTTTCTTATGG